GGCGATGTTATTTACTGTATCCTTAGAAACGTCCGTTTTTTGACAATTCTGTGTCTTCTTATCGGAAATTGTAGATTCTTTTAATACATTAGTTGTATCTCTTGATTGCTTCTTAGAGTGATCACTTGATTTTGATAATTCTGCGGGTTTATCTGGAAGCGATTTAGATACTCGTGGTTCTTGTTCAGTAATGAGAAAATCGCCACGAGTTTTAAAGGATACTTTAGCTCTCGGTTTATTTCTACGTTTAATATTTTGATCGCTTTCGGCGGCCAGCTTCTTCTCTTCCGTAGCAATCTCCTTCAATTTCATCTTTCTCTGTTCGATTATTTTCTTTTTTTCATCCTTAGAAATTGATAGCCCAGATTTTGCTTCACTTGACGGGGAATTGTCAGTTACCGATTTAGATTTGTCTTTGCGGTCCTTATTCTCTTTTTGTTCTTTACTATAAAGATTATCTTTAAGTTTTACTTTTAATTTCGACACGCTCTTTTCTTTTGTTGTTATTCTTGATTGTGAAGTTTCATGTACTTTTGTTGCTCTGTCTTTACTACGATCAGATCGTCTTCTTCGTGTAGGTAAACTTAATGGTTCTATTCGAATCAGTTTTTTTTGGGACTTTAAAATTAATTTTTGTTTTATACTTTCTAACTTATCTAACTGTCTATCTTGTTTCACATTTGTTTTCTGTTTATTTTTGTCAATATTGATATCTGTAATCTGTTTGCTTCTATCAATATTACTGATATCAAAATCGTCAGAAGAACTTGGCTCATCTATGTCCATCGCATCTACTTCTGTGGTCGATGCAATTAATTTTTGTTTTACACTTTCTGTTGTTTGTTTAGCTAATTCTATACTTTGTTTCGCATCTGTTTTCTTTTTGTCATCAATTTTGACATCAGTAATATGGTTGTTTCTATTAACATCTCTGATATTCCGATCGTTAGAAGGGCTTGCCTTATCTGCATTCATCGCATCTACTTTTATGGCTGGTGCAATTAATTTTTGTTTTACAGTTTCTATTGTTTGTTTCAATAACTCTATACCTGGTTTTGCTTCTGTTTTCTTTTTGATATTAATGTTGATATCAGTAATCTGTTTGTTTGCATCAATACCTCTCGTATTAGAATCATTAGAAGCGCCTGCCTCGTCTACATCCATCATATCTACTTCTGTGATCGATGCAATTAATTTTTGTTTTACACCTTCTATTGTTTGTTTATTTAGTTCTAGATCTTGTTTTGCATAAGTTTTCTGTTTCTTTTTGACATTAATATTAACATCAATAATCCGTTTATTTGGATCAATATCTCTCGTTCTATGATCATTAGAAGCGCCTGCCTCGTCTACATCCATCATATCTACTTCTGTGATCGATGCAATTAATTTTTGTTTTACACCTTCTATTGTTTGTTTATTTAGTTCTAGATCTTGTTTTGCATAAGTTTTCTGTTTCTTTTTGACATTAATATTAACATCAATAATCCGTTTATTTGGATCAATATCTCTCGTTCTATGATCATTAGAAGCGCCTGCCTCGTCTACATCCATCGTACCTTCTGTTGTCGGTGCAATTAATTTTTGTTTTACACTTTCTATTGTTTGTTTATCTAGTTCTGGATCTTGTTTCGCATGTGTTTTCTGTTTCTTTTTGACATTAATTGATATTGATTTTGACATTTTGATATTGATATCACTAATTTGTTTGTTTTTATTAATATCTCTCGTATTAGAATCATTAGAAGCGCCTGCTTCGTCTATATCCATCGCATCCACTCTTGGGGTCGGTAAATTAGTACTATAATCATCTTTTTTGTTTTTAATTCTAACATCGATGCTTGTATGTGGTTCACAAAACATTTCTTTACTACAAGGAACCTGGAAAGTACACGATATTTCGGACTGTTTGATTATCTCAGATGATTCGATATTCAAAATTTCATCATCCCAAATACCTAAATCGATTTCATCTTTTACAATCGAATCACATAAAACAGGTTTTATATCTTCGTTGAGTAATTGACTTCTGGATAATCGTTCCAACCATGGATTATCTTCATCTTCGCTGTCTGTTAAAATAATGACCTCATCGTCGATATTTAGCAGACCAATTTTCTCGGTGTTTGGTTCATCATCGTTGGTACATTCCTGTTTTATCTCTATCTTGTTCTCTGTATTATCATCATATTTGATATCAAATAACTGGGAATATGGAAATACTCCCTCCTCATCGTCACTTAAATTAACAACATCGATCTCAGAAAATCGTGTTTTCGGTTCATGTTTTGTTTTTTTCAATTTAATCTGTGATTTGCAAGCTGTATTGTGTTTAGCTATGTTTGCTCCTTCATCATCTGTCATTTGTAATTCACTTTCACATTTAATAATGCGATCAACTTTATGTACAAAATTTGAATTCTCTGTGAAATATAATGCATTTGTTTTATTAATGTTATTCTTATATATTTTTTAATATAAGTTTTACTTATACCTCTATCATTAACATCATCTTCATTGTTACTCTCAACATTAGAAACATCCATTTTGTCATCAAAATCCGATTTATTGTCATTTAAACATTTTGCAGATTTCAGATTATGAGTCATAATGTTCTTCTTCCTTACGTCTTCTGCTAGTGATGCATGAATTATTTCAATATCATCTTCTGCATTTATATCTGTAGTATCATGTCTGATTTTTAAATTATTAGTAGTATTGCTATTAGGAAGAATCTGATTATCGCAAGATAAATTATCAATTCCTGCAACAAAAATGTAAATAATTAAAAAATTTATTACAGAATATTGCAAATTTATTCCTTTTTCACCTATTTATATTGTTTAAAAAATAAAGACTTACCTTTTGAAGAACTAGACTCATGTTTATCAATATTATACGTAACACTTGGTTTTTTATTAGGTATTGTCATATCATAACTTAAATTAGATCCGTGTCTTTTTCTAAAATCATGATTTATGTTAGATATGTTTTCTTGTGATGTATCATTATTTAAAATTGTCCTTGATAAGGTACCAGTTTCTTCTTCTTCTTCATCAAGTTCAGTTGACTAAAAAGAATTTAATATGATAAAGATTTAATAACAAATATTAAATTCCTACAAAAAATATTATATATACTGTTCTGAGTCATCCTACCTTAATGATGCAAACTTTATAAACATGTAATGTCTCTTTATTTGAATTAATTTCAGGGCAACCAATTCCAATGATATCGTTCTCATGTAGTTTGACCGTATGCTGACACTTTTCTTCATTGCCATTAATATAAATGCCATTTGAACTCTGAAAAAATCAAAAATTAATATTATTCAACTTATAAATACATTTGTATTGATACATCTGTATTGGTACAGTACTGATATGATTATTTCTTATACATACTCGTAAGTCTGTGACATATAAATTTTCAATGTCTCGAAAAAAAATACAATGTCTACGAGATACAAGTAAACTAAGACAAAGAATATCGTTGTCCTTGCCTCTGCCACAGGTGTACTGAAAAAATAAAATTGTAAAATTTATTTAAGAAAATTTTTTTATAGAATTTCTTTATTTAAAATAATTAAAATACAGTAGATAAGCATTTCAATTGTATCATATGTAGCGTAAATAAAAAAACATAATATGCTGTTCTATGTATTCAGAATGTTATTTCCTCCTTCTCTTTATATTATTTCTCTTATTTACATACATATTACTTTATGGAAAACTATGATATCATTCCATTTTTTCTCTAATATACATTTTGTACAGGGAAAAAATTCTTTTTCAAAGCAATTACTGTTTAAAAATATTCTCAATAAAATATCTAAAAACTCTTCTGAATAGAAAAATTTCATAAAAGAAATTACATAACAAAATTCAACTAAACAAAGTTAACTAACAATATTCCATCTTGATGATGCATAACATAAAATTTTGCACAATAGCACTAATTTTCGCTATTATTTCATTATAAAAACTTTTCTATTATTTAGGACATTTGCTCAAGTCTAACATAGGTCTATGCAACGTCACTTGCAACAAGATTTTGATATAATTCATCATAATTTCTCTTATCGCACAAACAAAAACTCGATAATTCTATTTGTGTTAACAATTTATCAATTGAGTAAATTATACTCTGACTAATCACTGGGTATTATACAATATTTATAAACATCGTTCTTGAAAAATTTATTTGTTTAATTTCTTTTAATACTACTTTAAATTAAGGATCACAGAAGAATGGCATGAAGCGAATCAGGTAGATCTATTTATTTAATTGTTCAATGAATCACAAAATGAGTAGATTTATTTGTTTGATCAGCAAAGTGTCAAAGAAACGTATTAGGCTGCTATTTTATTTGTGTTTTTGTCGTATGACAAATTTTCATGTCTGTTGATTGGCTGTAGGATAGAGATTCGAGGACCTCTCTGTCCTGCACACATTTGTCGCACAAAAATGCATAAAAACGTACAAATGAAATAGCACTCTCAGATATTGATAGATTAATTGAAGAATTGAGTCAATTGAAAAATTCTAAAGTACTACTACAGAGCTGGGATTTAGTTGCACATTTCGGCCGATTTTCAGCTTGGTTCTTGCCCCACTTCACCAATCCGTGCGTAGCCTGCGTGCAGGTTGAAGTAAGGGGCAGAAATCAAATTGAAAATCGATTGAAATGTGCAACTAAATCTGACTAAATCCCAGCTCTCTACTGTACTACTAAATAGTCGCGTTCCCTTACGCTATTCAACGTAAATCAGATATTACTTACAGAACGATTACGCTCGTTGAGGATGATACGCGTTTTATGCTTCTCATTCAATCGTTCCAACGCAAAATCCATGTCTGCGAGGAATCGGCGAAAGACTCGGATACAAAGATAGCTGTCCCGTTGCCCCCCCTTTCTTTTTTGTCGCACGCGGCATTCACAAGCCCGCGGTAACCATAAAACTTAACCTTGCGAGAGCGAATGCGCACAAGTTGGGCATTTTCACACTTATTTTCTCGCTCTCTTGTATCCTCTTTTCAGCAATTCGACGAGGAGTGAGAAGAGACTCTCGATCTCCTACAATGCGCCCAAGTCACAACACAAAATTCAATGAAAATATTACAATTTTCGACAATGTCGCCTTTGTTTACATGCCACAACCAACCTCCAAAAATTCATCTCCGCGCCCTCCACGGTCGACTCCCATCAGTCCCGTCCACCCCTGGTTCCGCTTCCCCCGCATGATGGGGATAGGTGGAGGTGGATCCTCCGACTTTCTGAATAGCATCATAGGCTGCGTTCAGCAGAACGTTTGTTTTGCAACTGTTGGAAGTTTCCTTCGCGCTAATTGGATCATACTTTTAGATCTAGAAGAATGATCCTATCTCAGTAGACAATCATAAAACGGTTGCAAAACTGTTGAGTCTGCTGAACGCAGCCATAGAGTGCGTTCCGTTTCACTCATGATACCTACCTATGGCCGATATTCATAGTCAGATCTTAAATTTAAGACTGTCTTAAGTTCAGCTTTGAGGTATCATGAACCAATCAGAGAGCCGCATTAGCGTCTTAAGACATTACTTAAAACGGTTTTGAAATGAGAACCGACTATGAATACCGGCCTATAAATTATCATTTGATTCTTAGGGTGAAATCACACGGTGCGGAAAAAGACTGCGGAATAGAGAATGCGTCATTGAAGCAACCAATCAACGCTATTCCGATTAGCGCTGAATAGCGTTGATTGGTTGCTTCAATGACGCATTCTCTATTACGCAGTTCCATTGAAAATTGAGATTAGTGATTAAAGATTGAAATTTGATCAATGAGGACAAAGGAATTTTAGCTCCTATTGTTTTGATTGGTCAAATTTCAATCTTTGAATCTTCAATCTCAATCTTCAATGCGTAGTCTGATTCCGGCCTTAAGTAAGTCCGAATCTACAATAGAGTTTTAAGCTTTAAGCCATAAGAAATGGACGAATCACAGTCGATTATTCTCCTCGGATTCGACTGTAATTGGTCAATTTCTTACGGCTTAAAACACATATTGTAGATCCGGGGTAATGCCTTAAGATGCTGATACGATCCTCTGATTGGTTCGTGACTTCTTAAGACTGTACTTAAGATGATCTTGAATATAAGATCTGACTGTGAATATCGGCCTTAGGCCGGTATTCATAATCGGTTCTTATTTCAAAACCATCTTAGGTAATGTCTTAATACGCTAACGCGACTCTCTGATTGGTTCATGACACCTCAAGGCTGAACTTAAGACGATCTTGAATATAAGAACTTACCGGCCTTAGGCTAGGTCCAGAATCTTGCTTTAAAAGGCCGTAAGCCGTAAAGCCGCAAGAAGTTGACCAATTACAATTGAGTATGGGAAAAATAATCGACTGTGGTTGGTTAATTTTTTACGGCTTTACGGCTTAGGACCTCTTAAAGCAAGGTTGTGGACCTAGCCTTAGGCCGGAATCCATAGTCCGGTTTTAGGGTCATAGCACACAAAAAAACTTAAGCAATAAAACGTAAGCAGTAAGCGAGTTGACCAATCACAGTAGAGTCCTTAAGGCCATAACATAAGCAGTAGCGAATCCGACATGTTGATTTTCTTACTGCTTACGTCTTACTGCCTTAAGTTTTTTGTGCCAGGACCCTCAATCTCAAGCAAGGTCTTATGCGGGGTCTACAATAGAAGTCGTAGCTGTCGTAGGGTTTTAAGTCGTAGAAAATTGACCAATCACAGGTGATTATTCTTCTCATATTCGACTGTGATTGGTTAATTTTCTACGACTCAAGATCCTACGACTACTACGACTTCTATTGTAGACCCCGCATTAAGATGCTAATACAGCTCTCTGATTGATTCAAGCACTAGCTTAAGACCATCTCGAGTCTTGAGCAACGTCTATGGATTCCGCGTACTTCATTGAATACTACAGAATAAAACGATATATTATACGTGAGAAATACGTGAAGGGAAAAAACAGGGAAATTCTGTCCTAGATTCAATTACGTCCAATTTAATTTTGTTCTGTTGCTTTTTGCATTCTTAGGACAAATTCTGATTTATTATAATCAAGAGCTAGTCGACTACTGCGTATCCCTCAAATTGTTTCACCCGGGAGGATCCTCCTGTTTGCTTACATTCCCACTTGCACACCCCACTCACATCAGCTGATGCCTAGTATTTTTCACTGCTTTATCAATGAGAATATTTTATTTTTAAATTGACTAATTAGTGATGCATGTGTGCAATCGGTGTCCTTCCGTTTCATCAATGGTATAAGAATATAAGGTATTCCATTCTCAACGATGCCCAGTCGTTCTGAATATGGCGGCTGCTCATTGATCAATCAAACGTTGCTCCAACAATTTTAATCAAACGTTTCGACTTTTAATCTAGTCAGTTATTACAAAAATCACTGATGATGATCAAATTAAAGGTCAAACGTTTGATTAAAATTTTATTGTAATTTTTGAGTGTCACTGGCAAGGATAATAAACAAAATAAAAACAGCTACTATAATTGCAAATTGAGAAATGGACTTCTTTTTGACTCCTCTTTCTACGACGCTTCGACAGACTCGATTCAGGCGGAATCTTGGCGTCCATCCTTTGTTATTTTCGCTCCGTCTCGCTCTACCGAACTGTGGAGAAGTGGAAGCATTTCGGCTCACAAACAGTCTTGGACAGGCCTGATCTCATCAGAAACTTAAAGTAAACTATGTGATATATCAGATATCATTTTAAGTTTAATCAATCTCGAATCTATTCAAACCCACTGCATTCGAAAACAAAATAGATATTTTAAAGGGTTACGCACAATCACAAAGGAATATCTGAAAACAGGGAACAGAAAATAAGAATTTGAGAGAGAGAGAGAGAGAGAGAGTAGAGAGAGAGAGAGAGAGAGAGAGAGAGAGCTGGGAAGGGGAGGGGGAGGAAGGGGATCTATATCAGGAACCGTGTACTATAAAATACAATCTGATATTTTGAAATTCTTATCTCAGTTTTTTCTGTTCCCTATTCCTTTGATTGTGTGCAATCCCTAATAGCGTTTCACATTGATCAAATTACAAAATAATAATAATAATTTATATTTTAGTAAAGTAATCAAAACGTTATACGCCAAGTGTTTCCTATATTGAGAGACTTATTGATGCAGATATAGTAGTTCTAAACTTTTATTTTTTGTAAACAAATAAATTTTTGCTGACTAATGCTGTAATTAAAGTATATATAAAGTATATATAATCAACTTTTTATTTCATTATAAAGTTTTAATTTCATAATAAAGTCTTAATTATAAACCTTCCCAACTTAAATAATAATTAAATATTTATTAAAAAAGAAATGGATACCACGTATGTATGGACACCTTTCTAAAAATAAAATACATCGATATTCATTTTTATATTTCCATATTTTGTTGTTATTGGAGCTAAAAATGATATTTGGTATTTTCTATTGTTAAGAATAAACACTGCTAGCAACATGATGAAAAGTTTAATTAATTTTTTCATTATCGGAATATCTTCTAACAACAATCTAATAATTGATTTAGTTTTATTTTTCTAAGAAACTTATTTATTTAATAAATGAGGAAAAATTTTTATAATAGTTAAATTATTGTTTCTTGTTTTACATATTATAAGAACTTGTTTGTATTGATGCTTTATTTAGCGGAAGATATATTGAAAAGATAATTTGTCTATATAATAATTAAATTTATACAGCTTTGAAGCCTTTGAAATTTTCTTATGTTTGTTGTTGTTACGAACATCTAACACATTAAGTACGTTATATTTTAAATATTCTGCAATGACGTTACTATTTAGTTACTATATCTGTTCTGCTAAAAAGGAGCAATAGCTCGCGCGCGCGCGGCGCGCGTCGTTAAAAGTATATCTTGAAGATAATAACAATTATCAGAAATGTCATAAAAATATTTCACTGCGAATCATAGAATAGAACCTTTTCTGTTGATCAAGACAACGTTGTTGTACGAAGAAATCTTAGGTTTTAATAGTTAAAGACCCTTCCAAAGGACGTTAAGTAGGCAAACGACAAGTGGAAATTCAAGGAATTTGAGGAATCCTAAAAAAAAAGGGAGAAGTTGTAGTACCATAAAAGAAAAAAGAAATATGGAAGGGAAGAGAAAGAGACTGCGTATGAGTGAATGAGTGAGTGACTAAGCAGGATGACCTAAAGGAGAGGGAATGAAAAAAAAGAGAAAAAAGGGGTGGAAGAGAGAGAGAAAGAGAGGAAGAAGAGGAGGAGCAAAGAAAAGAAGAAAATGAAAGATCGGACGATCGTGGAAGTGGCATCCTCTTCGCGAGAGTGTTTCTCGGTGCATCCGGTATTATGCCAAGACGTTACAATGAAGCGCCTCTTGTTTCGCTTCTTCGCGCTGATCTGTTCAGTCGCGTCGCTTTGAGAAGCGCGTGTGAACAACAGTCCTGCTAGTTCTAGCCGTGCGTTCGGGTTCGCCGCACGCGTCTCGCGCGAGGTACAAATACGGAAAGATAATCCCGTTAATAGTGACGTATTGAACAGGGCAATCTCTGTAAAATCGATCGGCCGAGGGTGTCCTTGATTATTTACAGAGACAACACAATAATTCGATCGAGTGCACGAATGAAGGAGTGCGCTGAACGACTTGCTGTTTAACTTTGCTCGAAGAAGACAAAACGATTGGTGATTAAAGGAAGAGCCGGATTGTAATTTTTCAATCGAGCATTAAGAACAATTTAATTAATGGATTATTCGTTTTTACTGTGAAACATTGAATATTCTTAGATGAAACTAGATGAAACTTTTCCATTCCAATGAATGATTCTTATTTTTGTAGATGAATGATATAAGTGGATTTAGAAAAAGAAAAAAGAAAGAAACGTATGCAATAAAAATCTGACTTATAAAGTGTTATAATTTATAAATATATCTATTTAAAAATAATCATTTGCTTTAAAAACGTAAATAAGTGCTGAAGACCTCGCTTATAAAATAATCACGTATTAAATATATATACATACATATATATAGATAATATATAACTTGACATCTGACGTTGATTATCCAACTTAAAATTGTAGTAATGTAAATTCCTACGCAGGATGATCAAACGGAAAGATAATTCAAGTTGTCATTAAACTGATAGCAACTGTACTTCCGTTGTGCTTGTATAATATTTATCGTTTAATATATAGCATTCGCATGGACACCGGCTGTCCGAATCAGCTGACATAAACGTAATTTAAGACAAAAGAAGAATCGAGACATGAACAAACAAGTGGAATCAGATACAAGCAAGTATTAATTTAATTGTGCATAAAACTTGTAAATCTTTATAAGATAGAGTTAAACACTTAGGAATTAGCTTAAATACGATTTTTTATAACAATCTGAGAGCAAAAAAGAAAGTGAAATAAGTTCTTTCTGAGGAAGAAAAAAAACGAACGATTTTGAAGTGTTAATCGGCGATACACGTGAATTATATTTTCATAGAAACTGAAATAAAATACGTATATATACGGAGAAAAAAGGAGACGCGAGTATAATAAAAATGAAAGTTTTGAAACGTACACTGAGAAAAAAATGCTGTTGATTCAATTAAAATCTATATTACGGGCTGTCACTAACATAAATAATTAATTCATATATATTTTTATTGACATAAAGGCCTTGATTATTGAAATAATAATTTATGTCTTTATGTCAATAAAAATATACATAAATTAATCACTTATGCTAATGACAGCCCGTAATATAGACTTTAATTGAATCAACAGAATTTTTTTCTCAGTATAGCTGCAAAGTGACGGAAGTAATTTCAGAGAGTAGCAATTTGTAGGATAACATTGAAAAGTATCCGGAGAATTAGGAATAATGTCGTAGAGAGAGATTGTCTACATTGGATAAACGAGTAATTATATTTTTACATCATTATGTCCATGACAAGGATAATTTACACTGGATAAACGAGTAATTGTACTTTTAAGCCACTATGACCATGATAAAGTTCGTTTTGGCCGGTCTGATGTTATTCTCGACAAAAGTATCGTCGAAGTCACACCTGACGAAATGTTGCCCGCCAGGAGAGATCTTCTCAGAATATTCCATCGTAGAGTGCGTTTCAGTACCGAGAAACGCAACGGAACTCTATAGTCACCATTGGAACACTACTATGGAGTCCCAAGGAATTCCTCAGTGTAAGGAACCCGAAAATCTTATGACAACGCCGCTTGACGATCTCGATTCCGACAACTTCTTAGAGGTAAATTGTAATGATTAAATTGATTTTCTTAAGTGCCTTTAATTGAGATTGCGATATTTTGATTGACGAGGCAAAAATCAAGCCTCTTTATGAAGAAGTACAAAGAGAAACATAAAAATTGATGATAAAAAAATTAATAAAAACGAAAAATACAATCTTTCCCAATAAAGTGACATTTTTCATTTGTCTTTAATTTTACCTTGATTTTCTTCATTTCTATTGTTAAGATAAATGACCATGATACCGTGGTGCTTAAAGTAGAAAAGTCAAGTGTTTTTAATAAAGAAATAAAAAGAAAAACGTCTTTCTTAGAAGTTAATAAAATATATAATAAAAAACTTATCACGACACGGAGATAACCAACAAACTCTTTGACATCTCTGAATACAATAAAAAAATTTATCTTCGCGCGAATACATAATAGACCAAAAAATACAAATTTTACAATTAAAAGTAGTACCTTCATCCTTATCTTAATTTATCTTAATTATGTAAATTAATATTAACGTTAATTTTCAATATGCTAATTAATAATTTCCTGATTCTCTTTGTTTTGCTAATTCTCAATATTTAGGTATCAACCACTCCCTCAAGTTATTATATTAACCGCTCCTTTTGCCCAAGTATATTTAGGTGCGTTTCTGTTCATTAAGTATTTACAAATGTTATGAAAACTGACAAAGAAGTAAATAAATAGAAACATATTTGCGAAAGAGTATTTCCAGTTTTTCGAAAATAGAAGAAACTCATCAAATAATAAAAAATAAAAATTATAAAAAGGATCTTCAAGAATACAAAAACACAGGAATAAAGGCTAATGAGAGTACAGCGCGGTTAACGATGCGCAACGTAGTAATATACAAATATATGTTATATTGTAATTTTATTGTGTTATCTTGATGTCAATGTCATCCACAATTAATTGAACGTTTCGACTCTATTTTGAGTCATCTTCAGCAATCATATACAATTAGTAATTAATACGTTCATCCTCGGTGCGTCAGGAGTCACAAAACAAATTGCCAAATTTGAACGTGGTCAGTCCGTTTAGATATATGCGAGCGTTCTAACTAAAAGCATGTCCTCTTAAGAGAATACATTTTACATTTTTATTAATTATATAAATTAATTTTATTTAGTGCTCATAAAGGTTATCCAATGTTTCAAAACAAATCTTTGGTTTCGTCACGGATCTATGCCACGTTCAAATTTGGCAATTTGTTTTGTGACTCAATCCTGACGCACCGAGGATGAACGTATTAATTACTAATTGTATATGATTGCTAAAGATGACTCAAAATAGAGTCGAAACGTTCAATTAATTGTGGATGACATTGACATCAAGATAACACAATAAAATTATAACATAAGTTGTATATTACTGCGTTGCGCACCATTAACCGCGTTGTACTCTCATTAACCTTTATTCATTAGCCTGTTTTTTTAAATAAAAAAATCTCATTTTTACGTTTAATTTTCGATAGGGAAATGGCTAAATGCATTTTTGAGAGAGAGAGAGAGAGAGAGAGAGAGAGAGAGAGAGATTCACATATCCATTTACATATCCATTTACATCGTTAAAAAAATAACACATGTACTTTCGTTGTTTTGATGGTATTTTTATGGTAGCTATTTTATCGTCGCGTAATACAATCAAAGTATACTATCCCAATTATATAATCGATTATGTGAAACGGCAAGTTTAAATATAAAAACGAAAGATCCTTGTTTATCAATTTGATAAACTGTTTGTAGGTGCCAGCTTGCCTCGAAATACTTCACGTGCAAGCAACTGGAGAGAGCACCGTAATAGTCGTTCATTGTCAATCGAACAAAGATCGACCGGTGAAAGCGATTAACGCATCCTTTCCGCAGCTTACATATATAAAAAAATGTTGCCCTCGCGATACAGTATTCGACAGTCGCACGAAGGCTTGTGTGCCGCAGTTAAGCGAATTAGACAGCCTCGCAGCATTTTTGCTAAATAAATCGGCTAACGCAGATTTTGTGGTGGTAGCTATCGAAGGTCCACCTACGTGCAAAGGCCCTGTCGTCGATTACGAGATTGACAAAAACGATGTCTTTGTGCGGAACAGTACATATTCGGTAAGTAAAGGAAAATTAAAACTTTATTATACAGGATGTCCGGAAAATCGAGGTCAATACTTCGGGAAGTAATTCGAGACCCAAAAAAGCAGGAAAAAAAAGCTGTATAAATATAAGTCCAGAAATAAGTCGTTTTCGAGTTATAATCACTTTTATGTTAAAAAAAAAATTATAACTCGAACGACTTATTTCCGGACCTATATTTATATAGCTTTTTTTCCTTCTTTTTAGATTCCGAATCTACTTACTTTCCGAAGTATTGACCTCGATTTTCCGGACACCCTGTATAAGATATAAAAAATTCTATTTTGAATATAAAAAATATTTGAAATATTTTTTTATATATTTTTTATTTTATATATATATATATCTTTTTTATATCTTTTTGTAAAAATTTATAGATCACATTATGTATAAGTAAGAATAAAATTAATTTTCGAATTTTGGAAGTTAACTACAAATACAATTTCTATTAAAGGATAATTCACTGAAAATGAATTAATTGTTCTCTTCATACATTCGAAATTAATCAGTTGAGATGGAATATTAACAACTTTTTAAAAAGCATTCTAAAATATATATCTTTCGATTTCGTGTATGTTCAAGAGTATCTACACTTAATTTCTCGACAAATGTTACAAATCTTATATCATAGACATAATATAATCTTTTTAGAATGTAAAATTTCTAAACATCTCATGTATCCTATACATACAACATTTTATAGAAGCAATTATCTTCTTGTCATGTCAGCGTGAATTAATACAACATTATCGTAAATCAAATAATTCGACAGGTGATGGTTCCAGCGTTCACGAATATTGTGAAAGAGGAACTTTTGGTTACTGAAGGTAATGCTTGCCTCGAGATGACGCCGGATTCTGATCGAACATTGATAGCGCGCGTCTGCAGAAATCCGGAATTTTGCCACAGGAACGCTTGCATTAGAAAGTGCTGCGCCGAAAATGAGTTCTTTTACGCTCAGGGATGCAATAAATTCGCTGTACCCGACGAACCGACAGAGTTTCACGAGGCCCTCGCGATCGCCGTAAATCAAACGAAATCGTCCGCTTTCGACACGACCAAAGGTTCTTCCAATAACATTTAAATGTTCTTATTACCTTCTAAGAAAGAAATTTAACTGTTTATTTAGAGTTTATTGATAATCAATAACAATTGTGCAACAAGTTGTCGACGAAAGTCCTATGCATGGAGAAACGGAGTTTATAGACTTCTCTCTGATTGCTTAGGCTATGGAATCTTGATTGGGAAGCCATGTAAATATGGCATGTATCCCATGGATCCAAGGGAAGAAGATTGGTCACTGACGTCAGAAGGACATGTTTTTATCGAAAATTATAACATGTATGACCAGGACAAATACTGCATGGACATCTTTTACAACAAATCGGAGTTTGATCACAACTTTCATTTGTTCATATGTTTCGACAAATTGGAGACAAATGAGATTTCAGTAAGGTATATATTATTTTTATTTTCAATTGTAAAATGAGTATTCGATAACTGTGTAATAACTGTGTGTAACTCGTGTATTTATATTAGCGTTTAATCAGCTTCGCTTTTATCTTGATAGACGTGATTGAACAGAGAGATTGCATTGAGTGTGAATATTGCCGAAACGCTTTGTAGTATCGGGAAAGTTGTTTTAAAAAAGTATGAGTTCGTATTGAGTTTCTAGAAATTAAAGTAACGAATGCATCGCATTAGATTTCTATTGATGGTGCTGATGCATTTCCATGCATTTAGGCTTTCGTCTCTCCCACCGCAAATTCTGACAAATTTGGTGAAACTCTGCAGGCTTGATTTGTTTAAACTTCGCAAAGTCAAACAAACGTAGCATACCAACGTTCTGCACAATAGATGATGCCTTGTATTCGAGAGCTATAAACGTTTTAGCTGTGTACGCGGTGCAAAGAGAAACGTTAGTCAATGTCTACGAAATTGATGAAAATAACGTTGGACGAGTCAATTCAATACGCTTCAAATAAATACGTGCCAAATATGAAACGCGAAATGTATTTCTCGCTGACAGATACCAAATGAACACCGCCCTGGAAGTCATCAGTTGCGTCTTCCTGCTAATGACCTTGCTGGTGTATGCGTGCCTGCCGAGTCTGCAGAATCTTCATGGTAAAACGCTGATGTGCCATGTGAGCAGCCTCCTTATGGCCTTCACCTGTTTGCCCATCATTACTTGGATCATGCCAAGTGACGTGATTGAAGAACAATTTATAACAACGTGCAAAGCTTTAGGTGCGCCGATGTACTAGGAAATATTCATATACAAATGACGTTAATGAAACGAAAAAAACAATGTTTTTTCAGCTTATACTATGCTTTTTTCTTTTCTGTCGGCGTTTTCCTGGCTTAACGTCATGTGCTTCGACATATGGTGGACCTTTGGGTAAGTCATACGACGCGATCACGCGATCACTGGGTCAAATAGGACAATTTATCGAAGATAAAATTGAGTAAATGAGACAAAGCCATAATTTCCCAATTGAAAATCAATAATCATTTCTCTTTGATGACTGATGAATGAATTAGTCGGTTTCTTTTAATAATTTTATGAAGTTTATCACCGCTCATTTATCCAATGGTTTCTTCGATGTTATCTCAATTGCCTCATTGATCTTTCATAGAATGTCTCGGCGTTCTCATTAATTTCCATTGTGGGCGCCTCTATATATATGTCTCTTCACTAATTCATTGTGTTTTACGTATGTCGGTGCTTAAAAAAATATACACTGCCAAACATTAAACACTGAAATGATTCAACGCGTTTAATATAGCGCCAACACTACACACATAACACGTAAGAAAGTATTTATGTTCATGGAAAGTTGAAGTTAGAGAATTTGTAACTTCCAGAAAAAGAAATGATTTTTTTAAAATGTATTTTTAATTCACGGTTTTTTAGCAGATCAGTATTGTAATTAAAAATCAGACGTGATGTCTCGAGAAAATAATTGTCTCGTTGAAAATAAAATTTAGCGAATTTGTATGAAAAAAAAAATAATTTCTAGACATATTGTACCCTATCAAAGAGCGACGATTGCTCGGAACTGGACATATCTCGTCTGTCGTTTTTAGGCGGTTACGAACGTTTGTGTGTTTAAGACGCTATTCTAGCTGGGAGATTTGTAAATATACGGAGAAAATAGATTCCCACACGTCGCGGTGACGATGCTAGTACAGCTTTAATGTTAGCTGACTGGCACACGCTCTCTCGATTGGGAATTCCACAAGTCCGATTCTTATTTTTTCATGACGTTCATTCTCCGCGGATTGAAAAGTAAATCATGTGATATTCATGCAGCATTCGCGGAATTTTACGAGTTCCAAATCGACTTCCTTAAATTAAGATCGACTTCGTCGTAACGAAGCAGATTGTACGCCTCAATCTTTTTTATGTTACATTTAAGAATCAGTCACGCGCTTGATCATCAGTTCTAGTTTTCCTCATCGTTTGATTAATATTAAAAGCGTCATTTTAAGAAACACACTTGGAATAAATATTAGAGTTTTATAGATTAACATATTCTACTCGGAATTACATCATTATTAACAGTATACGTTGCTTCTTGATTTTTGATCTTAATATGTAAGATAATGATAGTTTATCTTCCCCGTAGAGTTTTGCGCGGAAGTACCATTACAAAGGCGCGCGAGGATAGGAAAAGATTTCTATTATACTGTGTTTATGCATGGGGCCTCTCCTTGCTGGTGTCAATCCTCGCTATCGTTGCTGACAGCACGGAAATCCTGCCAGACTATCTGCAACCCGATATTGGCAATAGGGGCTGTTGGTTTACACGTGAGTCATTTATAACCGATAACTGTTGTCTGAGATGTAACGCAAATTTGTCAATGCTAATTATGAACTTCTTGGAAAGATTACCTACTTTCCGTAACAAAAGCTAACTTTGTACAACCTTGGTTATTTCTTCGCGCCTTCTTGCTATTATAATTTATACATTGGAAATAGATAAAGTTGGGAATTTTCGTACAAGACGAATTGCAGTTAGAAAATTCATTTGGCATTCAAAGTTAAACGTATCGGGGAGAAGGCAAACGCAAAGTTTTCTTTCTATCGTCGTGCCGCAATTATCCGATAATTAAAAACTTTCTCGAGCGATCGTATTGAACGTGCTAGAACAAATTTAGGCATGATTGATCCTCTATAAAATGTAATTAAATTAACTGCTCGCGTAATAAATATCATTTATATTGCAACGTAATAAGGATCATTTATAAAGCAATTGCATTCTGTCAAGTAAGAAAAATTCTTAATAGTCTTTACGATTTAAAGCAAAGGTAAAGTTATCGTAACAGATTTACCGAATTATATTTTTTAATTCAGTCACGTCTCTTATTTGTATGATAGAGTAAAACTAATTTGTTCATTAGTAAAAGTATTAATGAAACGAAATAATTAAATGATACAAATTAGAGGAGGAACACTATTTTTATTTTCATATTTACGTTACAATGAATTATCTTCATATTTTGTGCGAAAAATTTTAAATATATTTTAATCTAATGATTTTTTTTAATATTTTAATTTAACGATACAGAAAGACGAGATTCGTACGGCGAATTAACTTTCTTCATCGGACCGGTGATGATTCTGCTGATATCTAATGTAGTGTTTTTCATTCTCACGTCGATACATTGCAATAAGATAAAAGCAGAGATAAAAAGGGTAACTACGGACCCCACCGATCCCAGAAGCAAACGATTTCGTTCCGATAATGATTTTCTTTTTGTTTTCCGGAGCAATGTAAACAAAAAAGATACATTAGCAATAAATTAGCGATTAGTGCACATAAATTTTGAGCACGCGCATCATTTCGAAACTTTTAATGTCGGCTTTATCATTTTGATTGAAGTGTCCTTCTTCAAAGTTGTAGCGCAGCCTACACAAAAATGCGAGAATTATTGCTCTCTATTTAAGACTATAAAAATAGAAACACACGGCAATAAAATCGTGTGTGTTCAGAAGTGCGTTTTATACGCTATTAACTTCGGTTATGAGTAATCAGTTAGTTGGCTACACTTTTTTTAAAAACAATCACTAGAGTTCACTCTGGCTACATAAATAGTCGCTGTTAATTTTCAATGAATGAAAAACCTTTGATAAATAATTTTTTTTTTATATTAATAGGAAGGCAAATTAGAGTAATAAATGGCGCGGTAATCGATGCACTATAAATTACCAATGTAAAATATATTTCAATATTCATTACAAACGATCGAACGTGTTTCAGCTTACCTAAAGCCATCTCTAAGTAGGTAATCCTTAGTTAGCATGTTCTCGGAAATAAATTATTCGCAGAAATAAATTCTCGATATGCAATATAGATAAATGGGTGTGAGTAAGGCGTAAAGGTCGTTTTAATTTTCATGATTAAGAAGTACAACTAATTGATGTTTGCACTTCTGAATAGGTATATTCATTGTATACCGAGAATTTATTTATTTGTGGATAAAGAATGTCAATTGAAGATCGATTTCTAGTAAGCAAGAAACATTTTGAAACATTTAAGCAACATGTTTTTTTGCTTACTGAGTTATTATTGATATCGCTAATAATGGGGTGAAGTAGGCCGAAACATCCAATTGTCTTGTAATGGATATAATATATTTTACACTGTTAATTTATAGCACACCAATTATACCGCGTTTATTTTTTACTCTTACTTGCCTTGAATTTCTGTTAGCGTTTAAATTTTAAGAATCCTAATTAAATATTACTTTTTATCATTAAACTTAATTTTATAGTAAAGAAATATAGCTAGGACAAAATTTTAAAACCTGTATTCTTCATATTTTTATATATCGTTTATTTTAGTAAAATTTTATTTTTAACAAAAAAGTTATATTTATATTATTTTCTGATAGATTTATCATGAACATCAAACTGTTTATCGTCATGGGAATGTCTTGGATCTGCGAGGTGGTGTCATTCTTCCTGGTAAAATATTTAGATTACGGACATTGGCACCATGTGTTTTTCTACACCAGCGATATCTTCAATTGCCTCCAAGGTCTACTCATCTTTATTCTCTTCGTCTTGAAGAGTCGCGTGTATCAAGCGCTTCGTAGACGATTGGGATTGGACACTAAGAAGAAAAAAACGACTCCGAATAACGCAACCGCGACTTTACACGATCCTTATAGAGTCAGGAAGAGCGCAAGTGACAGTACATTAACGACGTTCGCGATTAGTTCGACACCATAAAGTAATAATTGAGACTGTCTAGTATGATAATTTACGTAATTTATTCTTTCTTTTTACCACATAATATTCTTGTGTCCTCGAGTTACGCTCTGTCCAATTTGTGATTATCTTAAATACATACTCTTGTCAGTTAAATAAAATAAGTGAAATCCCCTTCTTTCTATCAATATTTTATTAAGTGGAGTATAAATATAAATTAATAGCGCATTTTAAATTATATGTAATTATACGCAATAACCTTTATTCATCATTTTACGAATGAATTAAATTTGAAATAAGGTTAATTTGCTGTTCTATAATTTTATTATTTTCTTGATAGCAGGAGGATTAGTAACTGACAGGAAAAATAATTATGTTTGATTGGACGCGATCTAGCACCACGCAAATACTTATACAGTACAAACCTTCAAGAGACATTCTAAAGACCAGAGAATTCTACGTCTCAAAACGTCCTTTGGATAAAGTGTGCTATGTGGGTAGTGACATGAATAGAGCTTGATGTAGGATACGATTGTATAAAGTTTCCTTTTGTATTAGCCTATATTTTGATAATGGACTTATTCGTAACTGCTATTCTTGACTCTCAGAAATGTCTGCTAAGAAGTTCTGAAAATGGTACAAGATTCTATGTATATCACGAGCATTACTTTCCAAGTATTAAATTTAATTATAGAAGTTACATAAAAAAATTCATCAAGAATATCAAAGATTATTTTTAATTACCATAAATTACGAACGATATTTTTGCATGTATGACGCATAAGTTAAGCGATTACGATAAAGTTATGACAAATAAAATTAAACACAGATGTATATAAAATATTATTGTTTAAACATTAAATGGTTCCTGATGTACTTTTGTGCTTGAATATTTTTGTTAAGAAAATACTTTGGTTAGAGAAGTCAATCTTACTTGAGGCATTTTAACCCTGATCTGTTTGCGTCTGTTTGACTCAAAATGTTTATTTTCTTACGTAAAAAATTGTTTTTTTTATTTCTTAAAGCTTTTTAATCATATTGATCCAAATAATATAATCGTAAAATAAATTTGAACAGACCAGCAGAATTAAAAGATATTTTTAAGAACAAGATGCTTTTTTTAAATCTGATAAGCAGATCAAATAATATTATATAATAATATAACAATAAAGTTGTTTAAACTACCCCACAAGACACGTCCAATATTTTCCCGATCATATAAATATTAGAATAATGCGTTTTATTTACTGCATGTAGTGTTATGGAAATTAATTAGCTTCTTCGATAAAAATTGGTAGGAATCAAATAAATATTAGAAAGTTCAACATTTTGGACAAGAAAAACTACTCTTATTTTAAATGTATATTCAAATGGAGTGTATCGGTAAAATTATGATACTTTACAACAATATATTTGTTTACATCATGTATCCAGGATACATTCAAGATGTATCCATTGTATTCTTAAAATGCATCCATATTATCGAGCCGAATCTCCAACCGAACCTCGAACGCGAGTTAAGCATGCGTCCACGTTATCAAACCGAATCTCGTGAAGAAGTTTGGCACCTGTGGAGAAATTCAACTCGAAACTCTCTACGTTCTGCTCGAAGATTAGCTCAATAATGTGAACATTTCTTTCGACCCGCGCTACCGTCTTAATGCTAGAACCGTTCTCTCATGCCACTACAAAACTTGAACCGGCTTTTCCTTTTTTTTTATTAAAAAAAGCTCCTTATAAAAAAACTAAGATATCACGTGGGATAACCTTGTAGCCGGCAATTCTAATGCCAGATTCGTACTCTCGCACAATTCACATCTTTCCGATATAAACGCACGCTTAAAGTTATAAAATCTGTTATAATACGACCAGCACCTGTATAAATCAGTCACTCATAGAGCTTCCAAAATCACTTAGGGTTATATTAACGGCAAATTAGCGCACAACACTCATAGGTATTTATTACAAAAATGTCTTCACGTGTTATATGGTAACCCATCATTCAACAAATGATATTTCTTCAGCAAGAATTAACATAAATTACCCACATAAAAATTAATGAATTGATTAACAAATGAATCAGTAAAATTGTTATGTGTGTTATTGATGAAACTGTCACTAGCGCATAAATATATCTCCTCAGTAAAACAGTCTCTTTTCTTTTTTTGTTTACAAATACTACAATATCAATATCAATAACGAATTTATTAAAACAACATAAATATAATAAAAGTTCTCGCTAATAAATTCTTGTGCTTAAAATACGGTGATCAAGGAAAGAATTATTATTATAATTATGATCGCATAAACATTATTATAATTATGATCATAATAATGTACAGGATATATAATTATAATTAAAATAAATATAATTATAAATTTACCAACAAATTGCGCGCATGCGCATAACATAATTAAATTCCAAAATCACAACATGAAATTCTCAATTTATAATATTACTTACGGATTCCTAAATCCTAAGATAATGAAATTCTTAAATAAACGCAACCTCTCAATTTTGCATTATAAATATGCAAAATGCAATCAATCATTGATCGTCCTTTTATTTCATGCGAAGAATTTTTGCATGGACTAGGATTATCGCTTAAGTTCGATCGCTTCATCACTTAAAATATAACGATACTGATCTAACGTCAGATTGAATAAAATCTTCTCTTCGCGTATAATTCAGAATAAATGTTTGAGATATGATATCACTGTGATATCATTATGAGTACTTCATTTTCGGCCATGAGCACCTAGATATAAATCAGCTGACTTTAAACCACGATTAATATCTCATCAGTGATCATATAGACACAAGCCTTTAGCCGTTAAAACGTGCCTCGGGTAATTAAAATAAAAGCACGTTCAGGCACTTTCGGGATGCCGGAGAATAAGGACGAACTGCTACTAGCTTGGCTTTGAATGCAAATTAAATACGATTGTCAGGGCTTCCTCTCGTTCGCGGTCTCCTCCAGATCCGGATCCTCATTGATGATTGAAATGTCGCGAATCGATGGTCTGCGCGTTTTCCAAGCTTCCGGCGGACTGACCGGCATGGTGGTCTTCGTCAGCAGCTTTGGTCCCAAGAGTGTTATCATAATGGCTCCCGTCGGCGCGGTCAAAAGTACCGAGAGTACGCACATCATCAGTACGATCTCGGCGTATCCGACTTGCTGGTGATCGTTCTTGTCGACTTCGTCGAGGGAGACGGGTGCCAGAGCGGCCTGTACGGACGCCTTAGACATCAAAGCCAAAGCAATGAACATTTTCTCTTTGAGATTCAATTTGGAACCGATCCCAAGCAACACCGTTATTCCGATACGGATGATAATACCGGTAACTAAACAACTTATTCCAAGGTAGACGGTTTTTCCTTCGAGCGCACTAATCTTGATTTGTGTGCCGGTAACGCCAAATAAGATCGGTTCGAATATCATCCAGAAGATCTCGAAAGACGTAGCCACCGGATTCTGTAAAAAAAGAAGAAAGAAAAATACACGATCACACGAATTTAAATTTATGAATGTACATTTTTTATTTAAAATTTATATTAGCCTGAATTTCGTTGGTTAAAATTTTCTATGAATGAAGCAATCATTTTGTTTATTTCTATTTTCCTTATAAATCTCGAAAGAGTGATATTCAACGAATGAAAACAAAGAGCAATGATAACAACAATTTAATTCGATTTACCGAGATATGCGCAACGCTAGATGTTAAAATGCCACGAATACAATGACATTTTCCACAAATTTTCCTCTAAAGGAGAGTCGATTCGGTATTCGGTGATGATATCTCGCAATCGCATTGTCCATGCGCTCGATATCGGGATATGGAAATCTTCCAACGTTGCATGGAAATGCGGAATATCCAGAGTTCACACGGTGTGCAAGCTCGTATTTATCGCTATTGTTTACATGCGCTTGTGGTGCGTAGGAAATCTCATCGATATTGATTTATTTAATTTAATTCCATGCAATTTCCAGATAATGCATGTAACATGCTTTGCAGATACAAGAACATTATAGGTAACACACATGCTTTTCCACACAGCTTTTCTTCTAAATATTAAAACCAATAAAGACCATATTAATTTATTAATTCTTTAAAAAACAATAATAAGCCATGATTAAATTTCATAAGAAAGTCACATTTAATTTTATAAGGTGACAAAAAGCTGGCCATAAAGTTTTGTGTGTTTACCAAATCATTACTCAAGTCGTCATTTTGATGTAAAAATTACAAATTAGCTTGCTATCTGGATAGTAACGTACCTATATAAAAAACGAACTTTAGAGAGTTAGTTAAATCGTATTAAATATCAAAAGACTGCATTAAAAGATTTTCATTAGTTGATGAACTGAAGACCACTCTATTGACTGTATGAGAAAATTTGTCCGTGAAAAGATGCACGGCCATCGTCGATGCATTTTTGATCAAAGTTAAAGGTGATCATTTTGAATATTAATTATTTTTTTAATATTTAATAAAATAAAATTAACACTACAGAGTTATTTTTTAACGTAAATATACGTTACTAATAATTTGATAAACGTAAAACTTTGCGATTAAATTTTTTATCCTGTATGTATTAAAATTAAAATACAATTTTATACAGACAATTTATGTTTAATTAAATTTAATCTTCATGGATGAATCTTGTGAAAAAATGATAAAAGTTTCAATTATATTTGATTTTATGTAATTACATCTAATTATATATAATATTCAAAAAGAGAAATGTTTTACCGAGATGAATTATTTCATTATTTGAAACAAAAGGGCGTTTTACTGTCGCCGCCTTGTCGCGCAATTGTTCCGTAGTAATTAATCTAGCCGGGATAAATTATGGCGGAGTGCGACATACGACGTGCATATCATACGGCGGTAATATCGACAGATGCTGGTTACAGTCACGTCACGAAACGCGTGCAAAAGAACGTGTCGCCGCCATTGCACCGCCATGGACAGCGGGGAATGCGACGCGATGCGGAAAGCGGAAATAGGAACGAGCCAGTTGACTCCCAATCCACATCCAGTCGAATAGTGACGATACATCGGCCTGAATATTTCACAAGATTCAACTTATTGGAATAGGGGA